ACACACGCACACACACACACACACAAGAAGTACACAATACAAGCATCCTCCGTCCCTCCGTCCCTTTACCCATCACACACCTGCGCCTCGAGGGCTGCGTTGCGCTGTTCGAGACGGTGGCACTTGTCACGAAGGCGGGCGAGTTCGCTCGTGCGCTCCTCCTCTTCCTTCTTCTCTGTGTGGTACTGCTTCTCATACCGCTGCAGCTGCTTCTGCGTCACGGCTGCGGCCTTTGTCGCGTGCAAGAGTTCCTCCTCGGCGCCCACGTACCGCTGCTGCAGGCCGTCTCGCCCAAGCACCGTCATGACGCCGTCAAAGTTGTGCCGGTGCAGCAGGTTGTGGTTCGTGTGCAGGATGGCCAGCCCCGCCTTGAAGAGGAGCGGAATGCCTTCAAGCAAAAACACGTCAAACAGGCGAAACGCGGCCTCCGTGTGCAGGGAGCTGGTGAACGCCGTGAGGAACCACTGGCTCGCGTACATGGACGGCGCAAGGCCAAGGTCGCCAAAGTGGGCGTGCAGGTCGGGAAAGGTGGCGCGGATGAGCGCGTCAAACTGGTGCAGCCGCAGCGGCAGGTCCGCCATGGAGGGCTTGAACATGCCGCGGAGACGGTAGTCGCGCATGAGGATGATGAAGAGATCAAAGGCCTCTTCCTCGGGCATGTGCATGAGCAGGATGGCCACGATGAAGGCGGAGCCCTGGCAGTAGCCAACCTCCGTGTCGTACAAAGAATATGCCTTCATCACGTTGTACAGCACCTCCTGCCCGTCGCCCTGCTTGTCCTTGAACTTGTGGTGCTTTGGGAACGTGCGCGCCAGGTCCTGCTGAATCAGCTTGTCGTGCGGCGTGTCTTGCGCAATCAGCTCTGCGTAGGATGGGGCGTTATCCGTGTGCAGCCGTGCGGCAGACACCTCGCTCGCCTGCTGCTGTGACCGTGCCAGGTGCTGCCACACCACGCACCGCAAGGCGCCCGGCACACCCTCGTACAGCAGGTCCAGCAGCCGCCGCTGCTTCTTGCGATACCACGTGTCCCAGTTGGACAGGATCTCCGTCCACAGCATGAAGCGTTCCACCTCCGGATCCGCTGCCTCCTCCTGCTTGCCGTTCTCTGCTTGCTGCTGCTGGTGGTGCTGTAGTTGTGATGATGACGATGACGTAGATGCCATGCGCTCCTTCACTTTGACGGCTGGATCTGCGGATGCGCTGCGCCTCATCGCGTGCCTGCGTGGGCCGTTCTGCCCGTGTTGCAGCAACTGTTGCTCTGCAATGTGCTGTTCCTGCAGCGGGCCGCTGTCACTGCCGCATCGTCGCTTCGACGCTTCACTTCCAGCAACAGCACTGTCCAGCTGCGGCGAGGTGCGTTCAAACGACACCGCCCGGTTGTCCTTCTCCAGCAGCTGGTTCTGCCGCTCCAGCATATCAAGCAGCTCTTGCTCGTCCATTGTGTCTGTCTGCGTCTGTGCGTGTCTGTGAGTGTGTGTGTGTGTGTGCGTGTGTGTGTGTGTGTCTGTGCGTGTGTGTGTGTGTGTGTGTGTGTGTGTGTGTGTGTGTGTGTGTGTATGTGTATGAGAGCAACAGTGTGTGTGTGTGACCTGTGCGGGGACGAGGCAACAGATCAAGCCGCTACCGCCGCCGTCGCCGCGAGCACGTGCGCTCGCCATCCCTCCTGCGGTTTCGGCGTCAGTACTTTAACCACCGCCACCACCACGACCCAGCTGTCATCCCACACCACCAGCTGCACCAGGGGCGGCGTGGCCGCAGCATGTCAACAACGTCCTCGTCACCGCGGTCGCACTCGTACACGTGCACAAGCTCGACATCCAGCTCACAGCGACACTCTGGCGAGGGCAACGGCGGTGGCGGTGACGGTGGGACTGCAGGCACGCACACCCGCCGTGACCGCTCTGGATATGCTGAACTGCCCCCGCGCGCGGCGACGCTGGTCGTACAGTGGTAGCTCGCCAAGCACATCG